ATTCACTTTCCCTAAATAATAAAGATAAATCTAGTAGATATACTATAAAAAAATTTTCCCAAGAAGCTAAGAATATTTAAAAAAATAAATAAATAAACGTCTCCTTGCATGTATAATTTCTTTTCTCACAGTAAAATTTATTTGTCATCAATTTGCCCATTTATTCAATATCATGGACCCAATTGTAAAGCTTCATTTTCAAATTAGATTGTTTTTTTCAACGTAGAGATTTGCCTTTTTATGACCTCGCAGGGCAATCCCTTTTTTATAAAATGAATAACGTCCACGACGAGTTCTATCATATTATTAATGGAGGAAGCAAGACATGCAATCAGCTGTTGACGATTATAACATGATAATACCTCTCATAACGTTAACCTAGCCATTCGTCTGGGGCACACAAAACATATCTATTGACAAACACATGCGAGTGTCGAAATTTTCAATTATGTTATTCATTTCTTGAATTATGATTTTCCTAATCTTAATGTAACATCAATGTTCTTTCTTTCAGATAAGATATCAGCCTATGTACAATTCTAAGATTTTAACATCAAGATAAAGACTTCGTACAGTTTGATTTTTTCACATGCATCATTGAACCTAAATGCATCCCCACCCCTAGAAAAAATTCAAATTAGAAAGGCAAGAATCAATTTATATACAAAGCGCCACTGGATGCATCGTTGCAGAAGCAGCTGAGGCTTGAGGATGACTTCAGTTTATGATCTTCGATTTGTCAGCCAATTCAGGCATTGAACTCTGTAAATTTTGGGCATACGGCTTTTCAATTGGTATAAATACTATCTCAAAATCTATCAGGAGTTAACCAAAATCTCCATTTATGATTCAAAAACTAGCCTTGGGTTTAAGGAATCACTCTCCTTATAAGATTACCTCACGAGAATGTTCCCCATGATTTTGATTGTGCTGTGATTGTTGCTCTTCAAGTTCTTTAATTAGCTTTTCAATCTGTCTTCTGTAAACTGGCATGAAATGGTCACTTATCATGGTCTGAGATAGCCGCAGTTTACTATACAGTGAACGTGGCGTGAGGAAAATCCCAATTTTTGAGTCCACTTGATGCTGGCCATTGTCGGTATCACTCAAGGGAGAGGCATCGCATTCATGCTGTGAGGCATCAGAGTGACTAGTAACAATATGCATAATCTTTCCTGGGGGGAAAAATCTGTGTACTTCTTTCATTTGAGGAGTAGAGTTCTCTGGCTCACCCTCAACTACCTCTGCAATGGCTGCAGCTTCTTCTTCCCTTATTTCTTTTGCAACATCATCTTGATCTCTGTTCCCATCATAAAGCTCATGCTCAAGCTGTTGCCATAATTCCACTTCAGTCATGTGGTCTTCACGTGCCTTACTGTCCATGAGCTCCTCTCTATCATCTGCATCAACATCATCATCCATGTGTTGAATTGTAGCGTCAGAACAGGAACACTCAATTTCCGAAGTCCATTCCAGTCCTGTGGATGAAGATACTGGAAGTTTGATGGTTTCCACAGCAGATATAGATGGAGCTTTCTGGGGGGACATAAGTAAACGCTCAGACTGTTCTGTTTGGAAGGGAGAATTTTCATTGCTTTCCTCTTCTCCCAAGTTTGATTGAACAGCTGTGCCCCGATGTCGGGGCCCAATGCACGACCATGGGGTCAACAGTGCAGGGCGTGTCAATGCTGCCTGGGCCATGCTCTGGGCTCTCCTCATCACAATCTGTTGATGGTGAAAAGACAACTGAGTATCCAATGACAATAAAGACTAGCTGACTTAACTATTGCACCTACTCTCCAGAGATTGGATGCTTTGCATTAAGTTTCCTCAAGAAATAGGCTAATATTGAGTAACATGTACAAAAAAAAAACCCAGAAAACAACCACAATTTCAAGAGACAAATGAAGAAATCAAATAGTGATTAAGATTTAAGAAGGAAAGCTAGATTATGACCTCAGGCATTAGCAATACTTCATACCACCTAACAAAAGGATAAGTGGAATAAGGCCACACGTACACTTCTAAAGGTGAAGAATTTCAATGGACAATTCACAATTGAGGATAAGTGGAACTAGCTTGATGACCTAAGGAATAAAGCATTAGCAAAGCTTCATACAATCATCAGACAAGGGAGGGTTACAATACTTTTTATTTTTCCTCTTACTCATTAGTCCGGGAAAGCCCACCCAAATGACATATTTTTAAGGCTCTGATCTAAGGCAACATCATTCCAACAATAACAAGGTACATCATACACTCATACAGGGATCAATTCATAAGAGAATAATTGATGTGTCAGAAATGAGGCTACCTGTGTACCACTAGAAACTGGGCGCAAGATTGCTCCAGCCCCAGCAACTTTTGCTCTAGCACTTGCTATGGATGGAAGACGAGAACCCAATGCTGAAGCAGAACGATAAACCGTACTCAAAATTCTTGTACGTTCAATCTGATTCCTCAGATCATTCAGCCAAGCAGAAGCTGTTACCTGTAAAAGAAAGATTTAGAACATTTAATTCATTTAAATGTTAACCTTTTAAGCTGTTACAAATGTGAATTTAATTCATACAATTTTCTAGGGTGAAAATTTCAACAATTCCAACCACGATGAAAACCTGATTACAAAAGAATGATGAAGTATTTTACAAGATCAGGCCAGGGCATTATAAACGCTAAAATGAAAAGAGAGGTGGAAAAGTAAAGGTGAACCCAGAAAAAGGTAGTAAATCAGATGGTATTTTTTTCATTTCAGGAATTCACTTAATTTTGATAAAAAAAATAATTATATATCTTCTAAAAACACCCTTTTACCAGCTATAGGAACAGCAGAAACAAGGTAAAATGCACGGGAAACTTAGTCTTGATGAACAGGTAATATGGATGGGAAAACTTAGTCATCACACAAACAAGCAGCTTGGCCCAACAGAGAAATAAGGTTCAAACTTATTCCATCTTGCCTCCCAAAAGTATCCAAAAAAAAAAAAACAAAAACAAAAAAAAAGAACTTAGTCCTAACTACATGTATGATAACTAGAAAATCAATTTATATTTTCTATTTCAGAACCATTTCATATGACTTTAACCACCAATGAAAGACATGCAACCAACTTGAATACCAATATGACATGACAATATGGTAATTAGTCCAGCATCCAAAGGTTGTCAGGAACATAGCTTCAAATCCTAAATGAAATGGCATTAGGAACATAACCTCGGCACGCAAATCATCCACTGAGGCAGCTGAGAATGTAGGCACCAAATCAGCTCCATTTATAACAGAAGTAATGAAATCGTTCCCTGATTCTGCCAACTCCCATGTCATACAAGCAGCTGGACATAAGAAACACATTTAGTTTCATAACAATGTCCAATGAATGAAACTAACTCGTCAGCATGCTAACTTAATGGTTAAGAGAATCTAAATAGGTATCAAGTATTACAGCTGAGATGGAAAACATTTTCTGGAATACTAAGCAAGGATAATAAACCTGGAGCAAAGGTGACACAAGTGGCTGTTGACAATTCTTTCTGTTCACGCAACACGTAAGTTAGAAGTGCTGCAGTTCCTCCACCCAAAGAGTGCCCTACAATCTGTCAAAATCAAAAGGAGGAAATTTACTAAGCTCAGACAAAACTGAACGAGGTAAGAAGACTAAATCAGAAAATAACTATTAAATCATTTTCCAGAAATTTAGTATTTTTATTCAGTAACTGGTGTTACGTTTCCTCAGCAGAGTGTATCTTTTAATTTAACAAGCATTTAAAAATTAAATTATAATTTTTTACTATTAGATTATTCTCAATTTAGCAGCTGTTGTTCCAAATTCTTTTCAAGAAAGGATTCTACATCATATATATCTTCCCATAAATACTTTCAAGAAACAAAGGAATAATCCAATCATGAAGAGGCAAAGCCTGTGTAGCACCATGCCAACACACATAATGCAAAGGTAAACTGTTATTAAAAACAAGAAATTTTTTTGACAGAGAAGGCTATATACAACCTATCCTTGGCAAAGGGCTCAGCTAGGATGTTGCATGCTTTGGACAAAAGATGTATGAGGCAATGATTAGAAAATTCAAAGAGATAAAGGACATCATAGAATTCCATTTGTCAATGTTTCAAATCAAGTTTGGAAGTTGGCTTATAAGAAACCACTGCAACAACAACCAACTCTTGAATTTTTTGCAAAGGCATATTATGAAACAATGGCAGAAATTTAGCATTGAAACATGACCGCTGTACAAATTAAAAGAGAATGCTCAGAAGAAACAGATGAAATGATGCAGATTTTTTCCTTTATTTACTTCTTGTATTGTATCATAAATGATATAAAGAGAAGAGAGTGGCTACAGGAAAATTTCCCAAGTCATATCTTTACCTTAACATTGTAACCTGGATATTTGCCAAGTCCTTCAATAAGGCAAGGAGTAGCAAGCTTTGCTATCCATCGAGCAGCTGCTACCATCCCACAATGTGCATAACCCAAAACTAACTTGCTGACTCCTCCCTCATGCACCACAGTGTGATGGAACGGTACAACAGCTCCAGTTACAGCAGTCAATGTATCTTTAATACTATGAGTTCCACGAATCAATAAAAGAAAACATCTAGTGTTGTGGTCAACTAAAACTGTAAATGCAGGCTTCAAAATCTGCAAAAATGTAGATAAACAGATGTTCAGACACGGCAACAATATGTTTTAAATCATGAATTGGGAAGTATATGACTATGAACAGAAAAACAGAGCTATTGTTATGCCAAATCACACTACAACAATGACAATCCGTTATTACAAGCATAATTCTGAAATGGGAAAATAACAAATTAATCAACAGAAAGATAACAATATTCAAGTGCAAATGTGACTTACCCCTGCTTTGGGTTCCTGAAGAAGAACATTTTCTTTGGCATAACCAGTCTCCTCCAGAAATAAATGGAACGGCTTTTTTGAAAAATGCCAACACAGAGTCAACAAGTGTAACAAATATCTAAGTTCAGCAACTATATCAGGTTCTTTCAGCTGTATGCTATCTTTACCACCAAACACACTAGCAACACGTAAGTGTCCCTGAAAAATCATGGTTGCAGGTATGAATCTAGAAGCAATGAACTAACTCAACATAACAAACCATTCATGCTATTTACCATTAAAAACGCAGCATTCACAAACAAAAGCTCTGAAGAGACGATATTGTTTACCTGCCTCTTCAACAGGAAGCTGATCCCAAATGCCAAATCTCCAATGGGCCATTTGCCCAGAGTCTCGGAATAAGTAAACCTAAGAGTCTCAGACAAAGTCGAAATTGTTTCTAACCACGTTGCCGGAGCCTGAATCAATCTATGCGTAATACGATCAGCTCCTAAAGAAGCATTACCAGCTGAATCATTGTCACTCTCATCATCACCGTCATGAGATGTACTTCTCTGCAGCTTACGATTTAATGTGTAGTACAAAAGAGCAGCTGCCCCAGCAGCAGTCGCCATAGTTGCAGTTGCCATAAGTATATCCCTGAAAACAAGAATCAAACAAAAACACAATAATTATCCAATCAAAATCTAAGCAAAAAAAAAAAAAGGAGGAGGAAGAGGGAGAGGGAGAATTGTAACCTAAACATGATTAAAATCGGGGAAAACAGGAACCCTAGAACAGGATTCAGGATTCGCGAGATTGATGAAGAAGGAAACAAACCTTAATGAATTTCAGTGATTTTTGTGATTTATAAATTGTGTCGTCGTTGTAAAGGGAATCAAAATGAGATATACCCGGGCCTCCCTCTCTATTTGTTGCAATCTTGTTTGCTTTTGATCTGGTTTTCAAACTTTACCAAATTTTTTCCGTTTATGGAATTCTAAGACCGTAGAAAGGAGACGTGGCGAGCGATGATATATGTGATGGGAAACATTAAAGTTTTGCAGCTTAGACCCGACTTTACTTAATCCACGTCAATTACACGCAGAAACATACCGTCATAGGAGAAATTGCACTGAAAATTGATTTAGGGGAAACTTTTTTATTATTTTTAATATAATTTTATATATTATTTAAATAATTAATTTTATTTATTTATTTAATATTTATAATATTATATTTATTTATTTAATAATATATAAAAATTATATTTAAAAAATTATTCTTATATCATCATCTAATTGCATTTAGTACATTGTGGTTTGGGCAGTGCACTAAACTTTTGGTGGTTAAAAAGTAATCTTTTTAGTAAGATTTTAACCTGTAAGAAGAGAACTCAGTGTATGACTTATATGATCATTGTGTAAGTGTTTTATTCACTTTAACAAAATTTAAATCCCTTATTCTCCATTCCCTCTCCCCCCTCCCTCCTTTTCCCTTCCTCCAATTCTCCTAGTTTTAGAAAAAAAAAAATTGAAGAGAGTTGTTTTTTTAGTGTATGATTAGAAATAAAAAAATAATAATATATGTATTTGAGAAGGATTCACATTTATAATTTGCATACAGCTTTCGGTAGAAACGGAGGCAGGCAATTGCAAACAGCTGCAGAAAGTGTTTTTTCTTTAGGGGAACAGCAGCAGAAAGTTAAAACATTAGTATTAGCCCAGAAACGAGTTCTGTCGGGCTGTCTCGGACAAACCATTACCTTTTGGGTTGCAGCTACGCAGTTTCTAAGCCATATCCAGGCCCGTAGAACTGCAGATTCTGCAGGCTTGGATCCAAAGAAAATAAGAAAATCCTAACAGGTCCAGTACTGTGCTGATTTCACTTCACTTATCCATTGCCCATTGACCAGAAAAACAGTTCGGCTATTTCACTTCACACTTGAGAGCCTTTTTCCTTTTCCCATATTTTAAAAAACCTTTTTTTTTTTTTTTTTCAGTTGATGTTCATTGATTTGCACATATCATTTATAGTCGCTCATTTTGTTTATTCCCTTACATCTAATTGCAGTCTATAACTTTTAAAATCTAAAACCATTGAAACATCCTAAAATTAACAATTTTAAGCTACTTGAGTTCTCAAATATATATGTATATGTAACTTTTTTTAATAACATGAATGTATGAATCTTCGACCACCAATGTAGCCAAGGGGGCCTAAGGAGGAACAGCCTGCTTAAAATGTTGAGAAATAAAAATTTTAGTCGAAAAAATTATATTTTTATTATTTTAATTTTTATTTAGTTCATAATCTAAATACTTTTTTTGCTTTTTTTATTAAATATTTCCTTTAGTGAATACGAGAAATATAAGGAAAATGAAGGTAAAATGAAAGATAGGGAAAAAAAATTAAAAGTAAAATTGTTCAATACCGTCCTTTCAAAAAACATTTGCTCATTAATACCTTCTTGTTTTTTATTTTGTTTATTAGTATCCTTTTACCAAATATATGTTTATTTCATCTTTCAATTGATTGATAACATATATGCTACGTCATCAATTATTATTAATTTATCATTAAAAGTTAACAAATCTTATCTTAAAATATTTTTTTATTAATTTTTTTTATCAAATTTTCGATTAATGCACAGAACACACACACATGGCTAAAAATTTGTTTTGTCCTCAAAAAGATTTCACTTTCTTTGTCACAAGTCCTAACTTCTCCAATATAGTTTCATGACAATTTTTCAACAATTTCTGCCAGCACAATGTAAGTATAGATTTTGACAGCACTAATAATGTCTAACGAGAGAAAAGGCGAAAACCTCAAATTTGATAATTGACTGAAAAAGACATGCACCAATAAGAGAATGGCTAAAATCAACTTTTAGTCCCTTATCTTACAAAATTGATAAGTTTTAGTCCATAATCTTATAATATAATACTTTTAATCCTTTACCTTGTAAAGTTAATAGGTTTTAACCCTTCACCTTATATTATAACACTTTTAGTCCCTTATTTGTATGAATTGAAGAAAATAACCCTCACTTAATATCATGTTATAATATTCTATTAGTTTTATTAGTTGATTGTAAATTTTGTTAACTGACTATAAATTCTGTTAACTGACTGTTAGTTCTGTTAATTAATTGTTAACATCTGTTAGCATTTCATTAATAGAATTACTAAATAAAATTGAATTTAAATTTAATATTTTCTATATTAAAATGCTAACGAATGTTAACAATCAATTAACAGGACTAATAAAACGTTATAACATGATATTATGTAATGGTTTTTTTTTTTCAATTTGTATAGGTGAGAGGCTAAAAATATCATAATATAAAGTGAGAAGTTAAAACCTACTAATTTTGTTAGGTGAAAGGTTAAAACTTACAAATTTTACAAAGTAAAAAATTAAAACTTATCAAATTTATAAAGTAAGGGGCTAATATTGATTTTTGCCCAAAAAAATATATGATTGAAGCAAACTTGTAGACCTACAAGTTTCCCCACATTGAACACATTTTTTCAACACGAAAAGCTTCTGTCACCGTCGAATCCAACCCAAAGCCCTCAAGCACCGGCCGTGGCTTTAACTCCAAGGCGCAGTCTACCCAATAAATGTACAAAAAGGGTTTCCCTTCCCTCAATCCAAATTTCCTCTCTTTCACATGTGGCCACCTTATCACGGCTTCCTTTTATGATCATGGGTCCGGACCAGCATCGTGGTCCAGAATCGGGTCTGATCTACGGTGGAGATATGAGAAGCTGCACTTTTCGTGGGACCCGATCGTATTGACCACCATTATATTCTGTAGATCTTGGAATGGACCACCATGATCCCAAGGCTACGAGATGGTAGCCTGTCATTTTTAATTGATGTCAAGGAGCCGTGACTGACAGCAATTAGTGCCATCAATTTTGATTATCGAAAATAATTAAATTGGTTTTTCTAATAATTAAACGGTTTTTGTAATATGTGCCTGCAATTAGTGCCAGCAATTTTGATTATTGAAAATAATTAAATATATTTCTTATATTTTTATTATAAATTGATATTAAAAAAATAAAAATTAATTTTTATTTTATTAATTATCTAATTAAATTTAATCACTTAACATTAATATTAAAATTAATGTTAGTATTTATATTTTGCTATATAGATTTTATGATAAAAAGATACTTTTTAAAGTATAAGTTAAAAAATTTTAATTAAATTAATATAATTATAGAACAGTATATAAAAACCAAAATTAAGGATTTTCCTTTTTTATATCCAATTATAACAAGGATTTACTACTAATTTTCCACTAAAGTATAGCATGATCCACATGATTAAAGTAAAAGTTGGCTAATCCATATGACGCGTGATATGACCACGACAGTTGATTAGTGCTAAGAAAAAGGGGGGAGAAAAAAAAGCTTAAAGCCACCTAATATCATTGTGGGTTTTGGTAACATTTATCTTATGCCACATATTAAAGATATTTTTTAATATTAATTAATATTAAAAGATTAATTTATCAATTAAAACCATCTATATAATATTGTTAATAAAATTGATATTTATTTTTATTATTTTTAATATAAATTAACATAAAAGAAGGTCTTTAAATTTACTAGTCAAATTTTTAATATAAAAAATCTATTTACTTATCTCAAAATTTAAATTTATATAATCTCTTTTTTATTTTTTTCTCCACAAATTAATCACTTTTTTTTTCTCTAAAATTATGGGTGCACATTATAGAGATATATAATCATTAAATCACAAATCACAAAGTTTTGGGACAAATTAAATCACTTAGTTTGTGATTATGATTTAAGGCAGTAAAGGAACTCGTACCATTATTAGGAAGGTTGCAAATTTGGTGCGAGACAGCCGATTACTACCCAAAAGTACGCGACTTGGAAAGCCTAGCATTCCCACTACAGGCACTTCTTCCACGTGTCATGATTCTATTGGTGTTTAATATAGTAAAAATATTATAAAGGAAACTGCTCGTTGAGTTTTGTCTCTTAAAACTTCATCTTCAACTCCTCTTCTCCACTCCTCTTAAAAGACAGCAGTTAGTATATGGTAGTTACTGCCTACCACCATTAAGTCGACCCTCGGCCTCCCAACCATTTTTCCGATCTCACCATAACCGGAAAGATAGTACGGCGTCATGGCCAGCGAGTTCTCGGCGTCAGTCGATTACGGTTTTCAGCTGTCGAAACGGATATACTACGGCAAGGGAGTAACACCGCCGCCGGTTCCGGAGGTGATGACGAAGTCGGTGTCGGAGAGTTATTTACCGACGGCGGTGATGGCATACGCTGCGATAGTGGAACCCGAAGTTGTGGATAATCCAGATGTGCCGAGTTACCAGCCGTACGTGCACGGAAGGTGTGACCCGCCGGCTCTGATTCCGTTGCATATGCACGATGTGTGCATGGAGGTGGACTGTTGCATGGATACTGCCTTTATTGCCGTCTCTGGTGTGTGGCGCGTGCACTGCATAATGGCGGGTAAGAGCTGCGATTGCCGGATTGCGGTGCCGATGGGAGAGCAGGTAACGTACGATGGTACCCACACCACTTAATTTAGATTTATGTGAATTTAAAAAAAAAATAAAAGTATAATTCAGGTGGTAAAACATTATCTCTGATTTTCTCGTTTAAAATAATTTAAATAGTAAAATAGTGAATTTAATTTATTTTAAAAATTAAATACAAAAGGCAAAGAATAAAAATTTAAATAATGTAATTCATGGAGGTTTAATTTAAGGAAATTCATTTTCTGCAAATTTTTTCTATGTTCTCAAGAGAAACATTATATGTGGCTAACAGGGTTCACTTCTAGGTGTTGAGATTAACATTCCTGGGACCGGGAGGTCATACAATTCCAAATGGGTCACGTTGGAGGACACAGAAGAGACCATGACAGTACCAAAATCCGGAGATGGAAGGTTCTTGAAACCCCATTTGTATACTTTGAAAATTCCGCAGGTAATTAATTTGTTTTTCTTCTATTCTAAGTTCTAGAGTGGTTTAATTAGTTCATTTCTTGTAGTTTTGTTTTTCATTTACTAAAATGTTACGTGTTTCCTACTTGGTAGGTTGAAGGAGGGTACAAACTTTCAATTAAAGTCAGGTGGTCCCAGAAATTATTGTACCAGGAGGGCCAGTATCATCTCAATGTGCCTTTTACTTTTCCGCCATATGTTATTCCTGTTGGGAAGAGAGTTTCCAAAAGAGAGAAGATACTCGTGAATGTGAATTCTGGCATTGGTACTGAAATTTTGTGTCAATGTACCAGCCACCCCGTAAAGGTATGTCATTGATTCAGGCCATCAGTTTTACCTGCGTTTCTGATTGTAAAGGTAAATAGCTTGATTATCATGACTTTCCAGGAGCTGAGTAATGATGTTCGAAAACCAAGTTTCATTTATGAAGCAGAAGTAAAGGCTTGGTCAAGCACAGACTTTAATTTTTCATATGCTGTACGTAAGGCCTCTAAAAATGGTTCTTCTTCGTTTTCTCTGATATTTTTTCTTTGGAGTTTCGACTTTAGGTTGTCATATAATACTCATGATTGAATATGACTAACTAACTAACTAATTAACTGATCTTCTTGACTGTTGGCTGTGTTTATAGGTTTCTTCAGGGGATATTATGGGTGGGGTGCTTTTGCAATCTCCATCATTGAATGATTTGGACACAAGAGAGATGTTTTGCCTCTATCTTTTCCCAGGAAATGACAAGACTAAGAAGGTTGGTAAGATGTTATGCATAAATATGCAATTCTTTTTCTGTTATGGAAAAGTCTGCCATTTTTTGGTTATTTTCTGTGGACCATTTCCCCATTTTAATTGGGTGCCATTTTGTAACTTACATAAGAATCCATCTCCAAAGCTGCAGTTAGATTCCAGACTGGATAACAAATGCTGACTTTGAGAATTGAAAATATTATATAAATAATTTCTGAGTTTTAAATTCAATTTATTCTTCACATTTGAAAGGACTATGTTTTCTGAAAACAATGGAAATGGATTGACAACAAGTATTTAAGTAATGCAGTAATGTGTACATAGAATTTCCTATTTAAAATGCCGAGGTACATGCAAACAACTCAGTCAAATTGGCCACATCAATGTTAAGCGGATTCAAAATCTTGAAGCTAATAATAAGTATTGTATCTGGTCCATCAGATGTCTTTTTAGTATTCACTTTGGAGCCTTTGGTGCTCGTGCAGTCCTTGAGTTTGTAACCTATTTGTTTCATACAACACTTTGTGCACTATCATAGTTCTTCTGACAACTTCAGTGAAATTTGATAGGTATTCAGAAGAGAGGTGGTTTTTGTCATTGATAATAGTGGAAGTATGCAAGGAACCCCACTTGAGAGTGTTAAGACAGCAGTATTGGCCTCTCTGTCCAAGCTTAATCCAGAGGATTCTTTTAACATTATTGCTTTCAATACTGAGACCTGCTTATTCCCATCAACAATGGAGCGGGCTACACATGCATCAATCTCAAAGGCCACTCAGTGGCTCAACAATTTAACAGCAGATGGTGATACAAACATTTTGATTCCCATTCAACAGGTATCTATATGTTGTATTATAAAATAAGTGATTAGCCCTATTTAGAGGATTATCTGCTTATGCTGTTTTAGTGGAGCAATGAAGTTATTATTATTTTGTTTTTTAATTTTTTAACTTGTCTTCATGTAGGCAATAAAGTTGTTGGCCGATGCAAGCGACTCAATTCCTCTTCTTTTCCTCATAACTGATGGGGCTGTTGAAGATGAAAGAGAGATTTGCAATTCTATGAAAGACTATATGACAAGCAGAGTATCAATTTCTCCTCGTATTTGTACTTTTGGCATCGGTAAGAATTTTACTGTTAAAAGTTTTAGCTGATTGATTTACTTTATGCACTATGCAAATGAAGCGAATAGCTTCCAATAAGCTGTTTGTCATCTAGTCACACCACTCATCCTATTCTGTTTGAACGTTATGTGTTTACTTACTACATTCTTGTAGTATTGTTGCTGTTAAAGTTTTAGCTGATTGATTTACTTTGTGTGCTCTTTTTCTAGGTCTATATTGTAATCATTACTTCTTGCAAATGCTTGCTCAAATTGGACGAGGCCATTATGATTGTGCTTATGATGCAGGTTATTTTCCCCCCTCCTCTTCATCATCATCTTTGTTTTTATTGAAGTCTGAAGAATAAAGTTAATTGCAGTCTCTACGGTCACTGTTGTAAAATATTATGGTTGTGGAATTGAGAAGATTAAAATTTTGCCACTTCTGGGTTGTTGTGTCTTTTTTGTAGTGAGCTTTTGTTCTTTACTGGCTAAAGCAAATAAAAGTACAAAAAATTACTTACAATGCTCATTTTAATCATTACCACTTGTTTTTCATTTTTCTTATGTGGGCAGATTCAGTTGGCTCTCGATTAGAGAGATTATTTACAACGGCTTCTTCAGTCATTCTGGCCAATATAACCATATGCATGCCTGAAAATCTTGATGCACTGGAGGTACACTGTGTATGATAACTAATTTTCTTTCTAATTCTTGTCTTGCTGTGTAAATGACACGGTCAGTTGTATACATTTTGGTCCTTGCAGTTGTTTCCATCACATATTCCAGAACTTTCATTTGGAAATCCTTTGATTGTCTCGGGCAGATACAAAGGAGACTTTCCAGGCAACATTAAAGTTAGTGGCCAGTTGGGGGACATGACCAACCTTGTAACTGACTTGAAAGTTCAAAATGCAAAAGATGTGCCATTTGACAGGGTAATTTGTTCTATTTATGGACTCAACGTCCCTAAAAAGTAAAGATTTTGCATCCGAGCACAATTTTTTACTTGGTTAATTTGCTATATTTTATGATGAGCAGTATATAATTGCAGTTGGAAAAAAAGATGTTTTCAACAAAGAAGGTTGCATAGATTGAAATGCTTTGATATATTTATTGACAGGTATTTGCAAGACAACAAATTGATGCTCTCACAGCTCAAGCATGGTTCTTAGGGAGTAAGGAGCATGAGGACAAGGTTTGCCACTGAGTTTTCTTAGACTTTAATTTGACCTCAATATAAAAATATTTGAGCTTTAGTAGACTATACAAGTAAAATAACAAAACTGTTTTACCTAAAGGGGCAACTGCATCCGGCTGAGGAAGCTAGAACTTTGTACTGAAGCTTTGTTTTATGACCATTTCTTGTAATCCTGTTTGTTGTGTTTTCCCCTTTAATTACAATTTCTTTCACGCAGGTTGCCCAAATTAGTTTGCGAACTAGTTTTCCATCTGAGTATACCTGCATGGTTTTAGTTCGAGCTGATAGCGAGAAGAAAGGACCAGAACGCATTCTCCTACAGGAGGTATGTGCATTCTGCAAAGTTCTACAACATTATAACTTGAAACTTAGAGGTTTGATTTCATTATTCCCCTTAAGCTCTTAAATGAAGATAGGATGACACCAGACTTAGATTTTGATAAAGCTCTGTTGCTAAAAGGGAATACAACAATATTTTGGCGTATATCCTCTGTGTAATACATCTGTGCTAGTTTTCTTAATTTCATTTTCTGTACCAGATATTCAACAAAATCAACCAGTCATTAACAAAGGGAGATGCCAGTAACCAGAAGATCATTTTCCTCGGATCCCTTGGTGTTGGTTTTGGCAACTTATCAGCAACAGCTAACAATAAACCTCCAGGAAGTGAGGAATCAAAGCCACCTGAAGCTGCAGAGATTTTAGTTAAGGCTGCTACCAATTGTTGTGGTAGGGTGCTTGACCGCTGCTGTTGCATGTGCTTCATCCAGGCTTTAACGTATGTTAATGAACGATGCTACATTGTTTCTTCACAAATCTGTGCTGGTCTTTCTTGTGCCGCCTGCTTGGATTGCTGCATTGATCTCTGTGGTTGCATTAATTGAGGATGATACATGTTTAAGTTTTTAAAAATTGAAAAGAAGTTGGAAACATAGAAAAGTTCCATGCTGATTATGTGTGTAATGTATACTCTTTGTAAATTGTACGAAGTTTGTGGAATATAAATATAATATGAGCTTCTTTATAGTCTCTTAGTTCTACATTTTCTCACGCTCTAGTAATAGAGAAAGTTTTCAACATAATTGGGATGTTAGTGATATGGCATTAAAAAAAAA